TTGATGGCCAGTGGCTGTGCCATCGCATCAGCCAATCCCCTCATCACCCCTGTGTGCATCATATCTGGCCCCCATGGACTTCCACATATCCAGCTTTTCTAAAGAGTCCCTAACCTGTTATTTTGCCATTCTTGGCTGCTTACCTCCTCCCCAAACTGTGCTACCAGATGCAATAGTCTGTGAAGACTAAGGTGAAGAAGGCATTGAGTACTTCAGCCTTTTCTGTATTATCTGCCACTTAATTGCCTCCCCCATTCAATAAGGGACCCACACTTTCCCTAATCTTCTCTTGCACCAGGAAGTCCCCAGTACTCTCCAAAAACTCCCTGGATTGCCTGTGTACTGCTGTATTGCCCTCCAAGAAGATACCAGGGTGTTTGAAGTCCCCCATGAGAACCAAGGCCTGTGATCGGGAAACTTCCGCTAGCTGTTTGAAGAAAGCCTCGTCCTCCTGGTCTGGTGGCCTATAGCAGGCACCCACCATAACATCACCCTTGTTGCTCTCCCCTCTGCCCCTAACCCAGAGATTTTCAACCAGTCCATCTCCAGTTTTATACTAGAGCTCTGAGCAATCATACAGATCTTTTACATAAAATGCAACCCTTCCCCCCTTTCTTTTCTCCCCTGACTTGCATGTAGCTTAGTATTTTAGCCCTTGGGTCAGTGAAAGTAGGAGAGCACTGATCATCTAACAAGACCCTGTGGGAAGGAAAGGAAATGTCATAGAGTTGACAAAGTGGAGAGTTCAAGGACTTCAGGAGGTCCTGCTGTCTCAGAGGAATGTCAGCCTGGCATTGAACCCAGATTTTCTGGAATCCACAAAATCATCATGGTTTTGATGTGGGCTGAAATTGTCTTTTTTTGTTCTCTTTCAGACACATTGGACATGTTGGTTGGGATCCAAACACAGGCTTTGATGTAAGTAACCTGTACGAATGGTTAAAGCATAGGATTTTCATCCAAATTGTGTTAAGCATGTCAAATGCCAAAAATTCCACTGTGAACCATCCAGTTGATGATTATTGTGATGTTGCAGAACTTTGGAAAAACTACTGAAACTATTAAAGATGGGAGTGATATTTGTAAAGGTTAGCTAATACTTTTGGGGGCTGAATAACTTATTTTCTTTTCAGAAATGGTCAGTTCCTATGGAAGAATTTGGTCCAGAAATATGTGCTTTGTTTGAGTCTAATTTTTATTCTGCTGTTTTTTTTAACTACATGGAGTTTTTTGAGCAAAGTTTTCAAGTAAAAAATAAGAATCTTTCTTCAGATTTGAAAATGGTAGCCACACATAAGCTCTTGCATTAATATGTATGACTTGCAGGTAAACAACTTGGACCCAGAACTGAAAAAACTATTTGATCTGTGTGGAATTTCAGAGGCTCAACTAAAGGACAAAGAAACTTCAAAGGTCATATATGATTTCATTGAAAAAACAGGAGGAGTAGAAGCTGTTAAAAATGAGCTGCGGAGACAAGGTGAATTTCCATTTACTAATTCATTTAAGTACTTAAGCTATTTTGGAGGGGCGTGTTTATTATGTGTGTGTTAATGTTGGGATGAGAGAGAATTTTACTGATGCTGAGGTTTTATATTGTAATAGAAGTAGGCTTTAATGTATTAAGGCACTTCTAAATAACATAAATTCACTATGTAAAAGTGTCTAATTTTTTCCCCATGCATATAGTTCTAAAATATTTATCTTGATCAATGAAATTGATTTGCATGTCAGATAAGTAATTTCCAGTAACATTTTCACTGACTGCAGAGGTATGCAATATATTCCATCTGTTTGGTTTTTTTTAAATAGCATCCATTACATATTTTATTTATGGTTCTTGAAAGTTTATAAATTATCTTGATTCAGAAAATGGATTGCTGCTGTCAATCCAAAAAAAAATACATCGATGACACTTCAAATATAGAGGAGAAAAGTTTGAATGACAGTATATTCCAGCAGTACTGTATAATATGCCTTCTAACAGCCAGAGACATGCAAAACTTTTATAAATATTTAAGAAGAGGTATTCTTTTAGCTGGAGTAGCAGAGCGATTGCATATTGACCATAAGATCATCTTCAAGTTTCCGAAGTCTTTTCATTAAATTCTGTAATATAATTATTCTGCTGAAAATATACTGCTAAAATCAAAGGTACAAAAATTATCCAGGTCATTCCAGGGTATTAATACAGTTGGAACTGTAGCAATTTCATGCTTCTTGGTAAATGATTTGGTGACCAAATGCCATAGGTGACCAAGTTACCATAGGTTCAGAGTACAGTAACTTGTAACCTTTGTTCTCTAGGTCCCCCACGTTGGAGTGGTATGTATGTGAACTGCCATTTAAGCATATATCACTAAATTATGTATGTTTCAACTGTGTGGCCCTTTTTAACGGATAAGAAACATTAGCCCCAAAATACTTATTCATAATTTATACTGTTTGTAACACTAAAAGATTTTTCTACATTGGTTTACCATCAGATTTGGCTCAATAGAACTTTGGTATCAAATAGCAGATCTGCAAATTTCAAAGAGTTTTTTTTTAATATAATCTCCTTAGTTTCATTGTTTTTAAAAGAAAATGTACAAAGTCCTTAGTTTGAAGCAAGTCATCTTATAGTAACAATATTAGTCTTTTGATGTTTCTTTTTTTGCCCTTAATTAACAACTAGCGTAAAATACTGGCTTTTCTGTGTCTGTTATCTTAAAGTTCCAGCCCACTTTGCATGTGTGCAAATAAAAAAAAATACTGCCTCTTGTTAGCATGCATGACAAACAAAATGAGGCTAATAGTCCTAAAGATTTAAATATCTGTTCCATATAGAGGTGCACCAGTATTCTATCTATGAATATATTGGTCGCATATCGGATTGGCACCGATAAAAGAAAAATATACATTATCAGCAATCAGCTTATTTTGGCCTATGTAGCTGATTAATATGACTGCTAAATGCCGCGTGTGTGTGTGCAGACGCAGCATGCACACAGCCAGGAATGCAGCCCAGCAGCTTGGAGAGTAGTGTCCATCCGGTAAGTCTGTGTGGGGAAAGGGGCAGAGGGAAGGAAAGGGGTGTGGGTGGAGGGGGCAGATCAAGGACCCCACAGTGAGGGAGAGAGTGGGGCAGGCAGAGACACTACCAGGGCTGTGAATGCAATCTCGGAAATGGGATGAACCCATGAGGGGGAAGGGGGAGGGGAAGGAGGCGGTGGCTGCCTGCCACTGCACGCACCCCTGGAGGAGGCATGGTGGACATGTGCCCCACAGATTTGTGCATGGGGTGGAGGTGGGCTACCCTCTCAGGGCCAGGGACTGTGCCAGCCTCTTCCTACTGGAGGGGCTGTGTTCAGGTGCTGGGAGGGGTGACTACTGGGAATTTTGAGGTGGCTATTGCCCACCCTATAGCCACACCTCCCAGCACCACTGCCCACCCTGCCCCTCTCCCACCCATTCAGAGCCCAGCCCCACCACTGGGAAGAGGCCAGCACAGCCCCTGGCCCTAAGCCCACAGTGGACAGCCTGCCCTTGTCCCCTGGACAAGCCTCCCATGAGTCCATCCCACACAGATGTGGGGGGCACATGCCCTCAGTGCTTCTCCTCCCACCCCCGTCATGCCACCCACGGATTCATTCTGCTCCCAGGGCCGCATTCACGACTCTGGCTGAGCAGCCCCTGCCCCACTCCCTCCTTCACCATGAGGGCCTCAATCTGTTCCCCCCCCTCCCCCCCCAAACTTATCATCCAGACACAGGTCTCCAAGCTGTCGGCTGCATTCCTGTAAATGGACTCTCGGATGGGTATTAGCCAGTATGGCTGGTTAATAATTGGCCATTGATATCGGCCAAGAAAATCTTTATTGGTGCACCCCTAGTTCCATACTTTTATCTAAAGCTACAAAATATATAATGTTTATTCGTGACTGCAGTTTGAAGTGCCCTTTGTGGGTTTTTCCTGAACCACAGCCTTTTTACAATTTTTCATTTGCTATGTTTATTGCAAGATTCTCTGTGCTTATAGAAAGTATTAGGCCTGACATGATGCTTGAAATAAGGCTTAAATTTATCTTAAATTAAAAGTCATTTTAAATGAGTTTTTCTTTGGACTGTGACTGTTTTTTAGCAAAGCTGTCATTGCTCTTTACTCAACTTTAGCTATTGCTATCACCTACTCAAATATGATTTTTTATTAATTCTTCCATAGATTCATAGATGCTAGATTCATAGAATCTTTCAAATAGTCTTAAGTTTTTTTGGCTTGGAGTGTAGGAAGTGGCTTTTTCAGAGAATTCCAAAATATTTTGTTGTTCTTTTTCTAGTGTGAAATGACTGTCTCATAGTTTTATGGTTGTGAAAATCCATAAAGCATTCAACTACTTTATTGGTTAAATGGAACTTTCATTTAGCACATTGCTTACTTTTCATGCAGATTAGTCATATATGGCCTATTAAACTATATTTCTATGGCAATCAAAGTAGTTGTTCCACTATGTCTGAGATATGCCTTGAGGTTTTTGTTTTGGTTTTTGCTGTCTAGATTTGCATCTAATTAATGCATATGGCATCTTTCAAAGTTAGAAACTTTATATTTGGTCAGGTAATCTGCAGCAAACTTTTGCAGACATGCAAGCTTTGAATCATGGCTAAGTTACCTATTTTTTCCAGTAATCAGGAAAATTATGTAGAACTCTTTATTATATTTTATTTTAAGCTGTTTTATTGGGGGGTTTTCCCAATTGCAGCCCAAAATACATATATATCAGTTGCATGTATTTCAGATTGACATGTATATATGTCCATCACAAAGTATAAGGAATGAAAGGGGAAGCAAGGGAGGAAGGACAGAAGTATGCAAAGAATAATAATCAACTACAACTACTTTAGTATTTAGTAGCTATAGCATTTTTAAAGTCTTCTCAACTTTGAATTAAACTTTTCAAAGCAGTTGTGCCTACAATACAGTTCTCTGGATGCTGGAAGTGCCATATCACTGTGCCAGGTTGGTGTTTGGAGTGGTTGATAGATTTGGCCTTCTAAGAGATGACCCTCCAGAAGTTGTCTAGGATGCACCATGGGGAGATATCTATCGTGCAGCCTGCTATATGGACAGCAACCAGCGTGCCATTGTATCTCATTGAGAAATAACTTTTTGTCCTCTACCATACCATTGACCACATTACTGAAATTGGCTAGAACTACCCTCTTGCAAAAAGAGTGGGAGAAACTAGGCAACAAAGCTGTTGAATGCAGCTAGCGACGCATTACTCACAGTGAGGAGTTAGCATCTGGCTCCAGTTACAAATGGCGCACATGGCAGAGCCTGAACAAATTGAGAGCAGGTCTTGGTAAATGCAGCTTACTCATGAAATCATGCAGCCTCTACACAACCGACCAGTGTGTTTGTCAGGAGAAGTAAACCATAGACCACCTCCAGAGATGTCGTGTAGCACCACAATGCACCCCACAAGATTTGGCAACACCAGCACCAGAAGCACTGACCTGTGCAGAATATTGGGAGCAGGCCATATAGAAAGGTTGGACTGGAGATACAGTGAAGAAGATTGTGCCTGTAGAGAGATTTATATGGAACTCTTACTGACAGGCAAATGTATATGGTGATATGTTGGCCACCTGTACCCAAAGAGGGCAACTGCAGTCTGTTCAGTTGAGCACCACCCAGAATCATGATTCTCGGATCCACTGAGATCCTGTGGAAAATTTAGCAAAAAAAAGTTCATCTATTTCCTTGTGAAGTTGTATTAACGTCTTAAACACTTTCCTATACAAAACATATAGTGTTTATCTGGAGACATTTCTACCCCAGGACAATAAAAGTTACTCATCAAGACCCCAGTTAGTAGGGGGCATGTGAAGCTTTGGTCGCCGATTTGATTCAGAGAAGATTCAGTCCGATTCAGAGGATGAATCGCCAAATCTGAATTGAATTGGGAGATCAAAAAACCCCCTCCAAATAGATTTGGAAGGCAGTCTTTCAGAGGAACAGAAACTGAGGAGAGGGAGGGGAAGTGGGGGAAAGACTGACATCTGTAGCTGGCCAGTGATTGTGATCTATTCCTGAGTCCCCTTCCAGTTACAGTGCTCTGGGGGTGAGAAACAGCACATCTGTCTCTGTCTGCAGCCTTTCCGTCCCTTTTGTGAGCTGTTGCTGCCTGAGCACTGGGAAGGCCCCTCTTTACAGGCTACCATCCCTGCTAGTTTCATCCCGCTGCACCTTAACACTCACTCACTCACTCACTCACTCACTCACTCACTCACACTCTCTCTCTCTCTCTCTCACATGTCATGAGTTTTGTTTTCAGGGGCTTGAGGTGCAGTTTCCTCTGAACCCCTGCACCTATCTCCTTGGCAGGTTTCATGCCCTCAGAAGGGGTTACTGTTTTCATCCAAATCTGCCAAAAAATTACAAAGTTTATAGGTATTTCAGTGATTCCCTATTATAGTCTATGGCCGAATCTCCGAATCAGCACTGAATCTTCCAAAGCCCATTCAGGACAGTGATCCGAATCTCCAAATCAAATCACTGTCCTCTGAATCAGCCGAATCTGAATTGAATACTTACCTATTTGCACAGGCCTACCAGTTAGGTTTGTACTTTGTTTTTCTTTTTACAAATACTGTTCAGTACTTATTACCATTACCAATTTGCTAGAAGGAAAGAAGGAAGGAAAGAAAGAACATTTCTTTCCTTCCTTCAGCATACATTCAGCATACTTCGCTCCAGACTTCAAGGCTGCAAACAGATGTTGCATTTGGCCTGGGATAAATCCTAAGATGGTTCACAGGATAAGAAGTACTAACAGTTTATCCTGGGATGTTACATATGAATGGTTACCTGGAATTACATCATTGAATCAGTGGCAGAAAAGCAGCAGTGCATTGAACTCATTAAACTGTGATTATGAGGGCAATGTGTGTACATGCTGATCCTGGGATATTTCTGTTCCAAAACAGACATAAGTGCAACTTGTCCGGGGACAAATGTAATGTCTGTTCCTAGTGCAAGAAGACAGGTATAATCTTGTATAGGCACAGAGATGCTTGTAAAAGACGAGGCAAAGCAGTAGCTTGGGCTTTGTTGCCTTTTATTCTTTATTTCTGTGCATCTTAGCTGGAATGACTTGGTTGAAAGACTTCTGTGTAGTGTCTAGTTTTATACTCTTATCTTATTTGCTCTGTTTCAGCACCACCTCCACCACCACCTCCATCCAGGGGAGGACCACCTCCACCACCGCCTCCACATAGCTCAGGTCCGCCTCCTCCTCCTGCCAGGGGAAGAGGGGCTCCACCTCCACCTCCTTCAAGAGCTCCCACAGCAGCACCGCCACCCCCACCTCCATCTAGACCAGGTGCAGCAATGCCCCCACCTCCTCCAAACAGGATGTATCCTCCTCCACCTCCAGTGCATTCATCATCTGCACCATCTGGCCCTCCTCCTCCGCCACCACCTCCAGCAAGTGGGTCATATGTACCTCCACCACCTCCTCCACCACCACCCCCTCCGGGTCCTCCTCCACCACCAGGCCTCGCTTCAGAGGCCGATCATCAACTTCCAGTTCCTGCAGGAAACAAAGCAGCACTCTTAGATCAAATAAGAGAAGGTGCCCAATTAAAGAAAGTAGAACAGAACAGTCGACCAGTGTCCTGCTCAGGAAGAGATGCACTGTTAGACCAGATACGACAGGGCATACAGCTGAAGTCTGTAAGTAATGCTGTTCTTTGTATCTCAGTCCCCAAAATTGGATCTTCCCTTCATTTTTGAGCATATTATAAGCCACATGTTATTTAACATTATGAATGGCTGCACGACACTGGAGTTAAAGCTGATTCTGCTTTTCCACTATAGGACTGACAATTTTTACTTTTACCTCAGAACTCCTTAAAGGGGACTCTGGGTACAATACAGGGGTATAGTCAGTGGGTGCAGAAGTGCACTGGGAGCACATAACTGTTACATCTGTGTGAGCCTGTGGCAATTAGCCTTGGGATCCTTTGACCACAGCTGGCTTCCTGCCCTGGGGCAGGAGGCTGGACTTGATGACCTTCAAGGTCCCTAATGTCTTCCAGCCCTAATGTCTATGAATCTATGAATACAAGTGAGCCAAATTGGCTTAATTTTGACCGTGAAGGAAATACGCTCAAAGTTGCAGTGGTTTTGCTATACCTGTATCACTGCAGACTCTTTCAGGTGTCACAGCTTCTGCACAGTCCTGAGCACTCACAGCTCCCTGTTCCTTTTGTAAGTGGCAACAAGCGTGGTTTCCCGTATGCAATGACTTAAGCCCTTCCAAGATTTTTTTCCTTTAATTTTGAGGCAAGTCTAACATTATGCTTGAAATTATACTTGTATAAACAGTAACAGTTGGATAACTCCTCCTATGTTTTTGCTGGATTCCACTTTGAAATCAAATTAAAATGTGACATGTAGGAGTGATCTAGTACAGGTACCTTGTATAGTTCTGTGTTTATGGCTTTACAGCTGAGTTCTGAAACTTATGAAATGTTGGAACAGTAATGTCAAAATGGTATGTCAGGCAGCGGTGACCTTTCCAGGGAGTGTCCGTAAACAGTATTGGCATGTTGACATGCTTTAGTGAGGTTTTCAGTACAAGTGCGAGGAATGTGTTTCAGCAGGAATGTTGTAGGAGGGAATTCTTAGATTTTTTTTCTACGTCCTAATTGTGAACAGAATGGAAACTGACTGATTTAGGATGTCTGCTTATTTTTTCCTAATATCCACAGCAGTGGTTTTCAGCATTTTTAGACTTGAGGCACCCTTCAAAATGCCAGCTCTTAGTTTCCACCCTTTTTGACTACAGAAGAATGACAGAACAATTCTTCCTTTGCACAGAATTCAAAAAGATCACAACAGGACAGAATGACTTTTTTTTGTTTTGTTTTGCTTTTTAACAATGGATTCCTCTGTGAAATCCCTAGGTTTATCTTGCAAATCATGTTTGCACACCTAACACTGCTGCACCCTTGAAAAGATCTTGAGGCACCCCAGAGTGCCACCACTGCTTGGAACCACTGTTCTACAGTGTATGGGGGAGAGGGGAAATATAAGTTGCAAAAAAGAAGAAAAAGAAAAAATTAAGAACAGTTTTACAGTATTTCTTAAATTGGCGGAGAGGTTATGGAGTGGTGGCTATGAGAGTATTCAAGTTTGTTTTGTTTGGGGGTGGGTAGCTTTTTAGTCTGATATAGTTTTTTGATTTTTTTAACAACCTTAGAAAATTTGTTAAGTTATGGTTAGTTACAAATAGCTAGTTGAGAACAACCACTCCTGCTCTGCTTCCTGTTGAGAGTAACTGAAGGTGCTGTGGTTTTTACCGAGCTCAGTGCTGTTCATATAACTTAAGTATGTTTTACGTACACATAATGATTTAGTCTGCCCTGGAACATAGAGTTTAAATGTGCCCCCAGCACCGGTCTGGATTACTGTAGATCTTAATTGAGATTTAGGCATGGCTTGATACTCAAACTGGATTGCTGTTTTTTTTTTTTGTTTTTTTTGGTTTTTTTGCATATAAAATCATTTTCTTATTAATAGTCTAGGTCACACTTACTTACAGTAAGTAGACTTACTGTAAACTTGAAAAGGCTTGGTCAGTAGTGATGAAGGTAATGAAGATGGATCACTGAAGGGCAGAATTAAAGCTGTTTGAGAGCTTAACTCTAAATTCCCATGCTCTGAAATCTGGCTTTTTGCAGGGAAAGGAGAAAAGAAGATGCTATGCAAGTTTTTAGAACACAACCTGAATTTAAAAGCATATACACTTTTATAAGAGTGACTTAAACCTGAAGCCAAGGAAGTTCCTTTTAGCCTTCATCTTAAGTGTAGGACTTAGCCACTTTTCTGCCTCCTGTACTATAACTGCCTCTTCCTTTTAGATTTCCTCATTCCCTTTTCCAGTATTCTGTAGCTACTCTTCTTTTCTACCACACTTCCTCCTTTCTTCCTTGTCTCCCTGTTTAGATTCCATATTCTCATAGCTTGTTACAGCTTTCAAGTTATCTCATATTGCTGGTGTACATAGTTTTGGACTACACTTCTCCCATCCTCCTATCTCCCATTCTGACCTTTTCTGCTTAATTTTTTTCTCTGTTCCTTGCACTTGATGACATCCCTCTTTCAGTGTAGTAGGCATTCTGGCTCTCTTGGATTACTCCACAAAACTTACTCCTGGCCACTTCCCTCCTTTAGCTTCCCACAGTCTCAGGTTTGAAAAAAAGAATCACATTTGTTATTTGTTGATAGGATAACATTTGTATAACATTCTTTTTAAATCTCCTCCTCTCCCTTCCCCCCTATACACATACAGATATGCACGCATGCTCCTGATTCTAGGTTTTCCTGGTGGTTTTTATTTTGGGACAGAGGGCAGGTCTTGCTTTCTACAAGCACCCTGCAAAAGTATGGAGAGTTATAAATAGACTTGTTGGTACATGTTTGCAGTCTCCAAACTTCTGTCTCCCAGTTGGGGATTATCTGTCCACATTCAACCTGATCAACAATCTATAGCAAAATGTTTAATGGCTGTTCTGTTATCTGTAACATAGGCTGTTATGTAACCAAAAAAGCCCTGCCTATTAAAATATCATAAGGAGCTTTCCTTCACGCATGAAGGTTATTTCTGATGAGAATAAGGTTCACTGAGTTGAGGTTTAGTGCTTAATCGTGCTCTGTCCAAATCTGAGTATTTGGTGCCTAATTGTATTCTCTTGCAAAAAACAGAGGAGAAAATCTAATCAGAATAAGGGATTTTGTGAGGCTCTTTTTTTTCCTTGGATACAGCTTGTGCTAAAAATGGAGATTTGTAGTTCCAGTTAATATCCATGTTCTCATAATTGAACAAAATATTTTCTGTTTTGTAAAAAGATATCTCTGGGAATATATTTAGTAAAATAGAGAATCTTTATCATAGTATTTAATTCTTGCTTCAAGGTATCTGATGGCCAAGAGACTGCGCCACCCACTCCGGCACCCACCTCAGGAATTGTGGGTGCATTAATGGAAGTTATGCAGAAAAGGAGCAAAGCCATTCATTCTTCTGGTGAGTCTGTGGAAGGCCCTTTAGGGCTGTCATGTTCAAGTGTTACATGAACTGGACCCTTCCATCTGTCCATGGAGTCTAGTCTTTTGCAGCAACTACAGTTTCAGCTTTCAGCTGAGCAGCCAAAGCTGCAGACAGTTCAACTGTGAAGGGGTTAAAACTAGTTCTGAGCAGAAAAGGAAGGGCAAGGGAACTGAAGATTTTCTGCTCTGTATTGTCAGAACTCTGGGAAAAACTTTTTTTTCTACATGCAACCTTTCCATAAACAAGGTGAATGTCTTCTTTGGGGGCATGTGGCATGCAAGGGAACATGGTGGGTACAATAAAGCCTTTTAACGTGTTAATTCTGTACATGAAAATTACCATTGCTCTTTTCTCCTAGATGAAGATGAGGAGGAAGATGATGAAGAAGACTTTGAGGATGATGACGAATGGGATGATTGATCATATATTATATATTATATATATATTTTTTAAGGTGATTGAAATACTAAACACTACTTTCTGTCTATGGATTCTGTAAAATTATCATGTAAATGTTCTACCAATTTGCTGTATATTTTTGTTGCCTTTTGCTTTTTTATTAATCTGTGCAATACCTCATTTAATCTGTAAAGGTTTGTCAAAATCCTCTACAAAGCTACTCCCTATTAATGTGTGCAAGTTTACATCTGGATGATCATATACATGTGAATATTTTTCCATTCCATCAAAAAGGGAGTTTAAATGTAATAAGTGAGACTGACAAAAACCTTAATGTAATTTAGTTATAATGCAAGAAGGAAGACACTATTTTCATACCCTACTTTTTTCTGTATCTAAATTTTTCTTATTAAAAACTAGTGTAGCACTACATTCTTTAAATGATGCAGCTCTTAGTTTATTTAGCCCCTACATTTCAAATACTCTAGTACGTGAATGTTAAGGTTGATTATAATATTGAACGGTTTTCGATACGTCACATCCTTCCAGTTCAGATCTCAGCAATATGCTTTACATATAACAAAACCACTACAAAAATACACAGCTAGTTATGAAAATCAACAACTTATCCATAATGTAGCAATATTGTCTACTCTTGGACAGCAGTGATATTTGAATGCTTTAATTAGGGATCTCTCCACCTGAGGTTAAACAAAATGATTTTGTAGTATAGCAGTAGTGAAGGCATCTTTGAAGCAAACCAGTTGATTCCTTACTGCCAGCTATCATCATCTGGAAAGAGAAGCAGTCTAAATTGCTGGAGCTGTACTGTAGCCTGGCAGTTGCTACAGTCATTTGATTTATTTTTAAAATCAATTTTATATGGTTTTGGGTTGAAGGGCTGCGTTTAATGCTTGCTTCAATAATGTTTAAATTCATTTTAAAATGTGTAGGGCATTGGTGTACTAATAAAATAAACTTAAGTGGTGTTATTTTTCAGTCTTTATGGGTTATGGTACATAAATACTAGACACCAGTCCTACATCAAAAAAGTGGAAAGTCTGTAAATCAGAATATACAGTTTAAATGTGTACTGAACATTATTGCAATAGTTCTGGCTTCTTATGTTGGCTTTAAGCGCAAGACTTGTGGGGAAAGATCAAGACCCTATTCACAGGAATAGTATTGGAATAAATGATTGGAGGATGGATCTCTTATTTCACAGCTTGCACAATTGTAATAAATATGTACTTAATAGTGTGGTAAAAATTGGAGTGCCTGCCTATTAAAATACACTAATCTGCTCTAGGATGGGTATTTAATGTCTGCAGCACTAATTACTGTACCTACAGTAAATTTCAGGTAGAAACATCATCTTTATTTTAAAGAACCACATTATTTCATTGATGCAGAGTGTTTAGTTAAGTCAGTCATATTTGGAGTATAGTTAACATATAGTATCTTCAGTCTTTGACTGTAGTCAAGGTATCACACTAAACTTAAGTTATCCAGAATTGTATTGACTGAAACCCAGTGTTGTCCTGATCTTGACAGGCTGGACCTGCATGATGTGGCTTGGATTTCTAACCCTGTTATAATCTAGTCTTTATTGATTGAGTCTCTAGTCATGTGGGAAGAAAGGAATTTAAAAGGTTGACTTGCCGAAAAGTGGTGTGAGTCGTGAGGTAGTAGTTAAATTATTCAAAGGATGCTAACTTCCTTCCCAGATTAATTTAAGCGCATATAACTTTGGGAAACTTCTGAGTTGTTTTATTTTCTTGCAGTAATGTTCACATTCTACTAGCTTTCCTGCTGTAGTGACTTGAGCATTGTGAGCTGAATGTGGGTGAGCCTTGGGGGAACTAAACATCCAGTGGGTTTAAGAGTTTGTGCACAAGTTAAATAGTTTTATGGCTTTGATATAACTTCTGGCATCTCCTTTATTTTTATAGCACAAGGGCATTTAAAGTTAAGTGGATGAGTCCCAGATGCTCTCCTAACACACTTCTTATTAGGAACTGTTTAACCCCTATGCTTCAGGAGTTGGGATTTCTGTACCCTATGTAACAAACTCTCTGTTGTATAATTACATTAAACAAACAAATAAACAGGGAATCCCAATTCCCCATGTTGCAAGAGCTGGGGAAGTTAAACACTATATATTTTGAAGAACAGTTTCTTCATTGGCCAAAGGTGGCATTTGACTTTGATTTTTCTGTACAAGAAGTATATCTATTTTATTGCACAAAGTCCAAATTAATATTTGCTTTAAAACAGTGTGTGTGTGGTTAAACCCAGGCATGAAGACTGCAATTGCAATTAAGCTAAAATAGCCATGGCTGCATGTTTCAGCACTCCACCACTTGCGCTGTGGGCAGAAGGTAGTGTTTCATGGCATTGATTCACTATCGCTAAACATTGTAATGAAGGCCTCTCATATATACTCCAGTTAAATTACTGTGTCCAAGTAGCCTTAGCAATTAACATACTAGCATGAGGCTTTTGTATCTTGACACTATATGTGCATAGACGGTATCAGCTAGCCACTTATTTGTACGTAAGAACTTCTCAATCATTCAGTTTTCCAGTTATCAAACTGAAATTTTTAGTATGTGAATTTTTGAACTGTACAGTGAATAGGATGTTGCACTGGTGGCAATTCATCACGGAGCATAATAAAATTAATTTGACCCAAATAGTGGAAAGCAGTGTTGGTTTTTGTTTTTGTTTTTAAGCATTAACTTCAGCACAGTTTTGAAATAGCCCTACGTGTTGATTCCATACTTTGAAAGTAAGCTCAGTTGTTGAGCTAAGACCACAAAGCACTAAATAGTGACCTCAAATCTCTCTGGGAAGTTGGATTGTGCCACTGAATAAACATATTCTTACTTACTGTAACACCCTGTGTTTCTGGTAAATCTGACAGCTGCGCAGCAGCTCCCCTGGAAACAACTGCTGCTACAGGCAAGTGAAATAATACATTAACATTTCAAGGTCAAACAATTGTGGCCTGCCTAGTTAACATGTTTAACTGAACACCAACCATTTGAGCTTTTAACAGAAATATTGTATGTTCAATACTTGACTTGTATGTAATGTTGTAGTGAATCACAGGATCACTTCTTACCCAACAGAGGATAAAACAGGGTTGGGACTTAGTGTGAGCTATACATTGATTTTTTTTTTTTTACTCTCCTAGGATTGCAAAGTATTGCTGTCTTTGTTATAATCTAAACATCACCGTTGCTAAACTGAGAGATTGGTAGTTTTCTTCCCAGTGTAAGGCAAAGTTGGTTCAACTTTTCAGTGGGGTAGCTTACATATTTGAAAGGTATGTGCGGTAATATTTTCTTTCTGTCCAATAGACGTCCTGTGCAAAAAACATCCTTCAAAAGGTAATTTATTTTGAATTAATGCTTATCAAGATACTTTTACAAGTGAAATGCATTGGTGGGGGGAGGGTTGTTTTTTTTTATTGTGGACTACATTGCAACAGCCTTATCTTATCATTGGAGGAATTCCTTATCTGGTTAAAGTGCCTGTAGTTCAAGTTCAGTGATAAATTGCTTTATTTATAGTACAGCAAACCATGGCTTAGGGAAGTGTGGGACTTTCTTTTCTCAATAGGACATTGTCATGCTACAGCATGACAAACTGAATTAAGGTGTACTTACTTTAAACAGATTATCTTTGACTTCTCCCCACCTCTGGAGGGCAGGAGAGGAGAAGAAGAAAATAGAATATGTTAATAGAGAATAGAATGGGAATTGTAACTTTTATTAAATTTGGTCGTGAAATGGGTATCAATCCAGCTTTTAAACATCTGTATTTCTATGCGTGTTCATATAGTTAAGTAGGGGGCTTCTGAAGACCATTCTTCACTAAATAGTAGAAGCCATAAATTCTACCCTCAGTGCACACTACCTTCCAGTATAATCAACAGTTGTCCAAATATAGCTACATTGAGTTTTGGGTGCTTATAATCAAAGATTCAAAGATAACAAAGAGAAAAATTAAGTGGAAAATCAGTTTATTTTACTGCTGTGTTGTCAAAAGATTGAGAACAATTGGAGTTCTCTTTCTATATAGAGTGAATCCATATTCTACTGACACTTAGAGATGGCAGAACGGCATAGCAAAAGCAAGAGGAGTGGTAGATCTAAGATGCCTGGATTCTGCTCTACCCTTGGCCCATGTTGCCTTATATGGAATGGTGCTTCAAATGCTTTTGAGAAAACTCTTGGATACTTGGCTGCTGTCTTCTACACACACTTAGAGTTAAACTAATTACCAGTTTTGAGTCGAGAAGGTTTTCTTCTTTTCCAGATCATTGTGGGTGTTTTTTGTTTGTTTTTTGTTTTGCAGTGCAGCTTAGGGCATGGGTCTGCTTCCTAGGAATCTATGGCCTCCTTGGCATCATCTAAGCTATTTTAGCCAAGAGGCAGGGTTTTTTTTGTAGGTGACAGCTTTTATTGCACCAACTACATAACTGAGGTAAAGCTGGACAAGATTTTGAATGCAAGACAGGTGACCTTGCATTCAAAAGCTTGTTTAACTTTACCCCGGTCATAGTTTGTCCAACAAAAACTATCACCCACAAAAAAAAAAAAAAAAAAGCTTTGCCTCTAGCATAATTCCTGGACCATTATGGCTACAGCATCACTGACGCAAATTCCTTGATGTTGCACTGGCCTGGATGAGATCTTTATTTCTCTCCTAGCCTTGTCTTGTGGCAGATTGTAGATTTATTGGTCTCTGTGTGGTTCTCAGCCGCATTAAACTGAAGCACCTCTTGGAAAATACTGGCTTTTAGTTTCTGCTCATTTTTTTTGACTACAGAGAAATAATAGAGCAATTTATCTGTGGCAGAGATTTCAGAAAAACCATAACAGGTTAGAATTTCTTGACACTATGGATTCCTATTTGAAATCTCTGACTTTATCCTGTGAATTGTATAAGTGTTTTGCACACCTAACAGTGTTTATACTATGCAGCACCCTTAAAAGTATCTCTTGGCACATCAGTTGAGAATCATTGATCTATAATATGCAGGGCAGGCAAGTGTAGTGGTTCCTTTCTGGCTAAATTGTTTATTATGTGAATGTCTGTGATGCAGAGGAGCAGATGATGTGATCCAGGAAGCCCCTTGCAGTCTTCAGTTCCTATGTAGCCTTGGGTAATTTACACCTTCTGCTTGCTTGTAATTCTACCCACTTCATCAGCAAGTTGCAAAGTTTAGTCAATGTTTGGGGGTTTTGTTTTGTTTTAAGAGCTTTTAACTCTCATAATGCTGTAACAATTATTTAAATACTGAAGATTCTTATTCAAAACCCCTATTGTGCATAACTCTCCCAAAGTGGTATGTAGAAATGATATTGCTCAGGGAAGCAATTACTTCTCAAGTATAAAGAGAATTCATTGCTACCACCCAGGTATTTACCTGAATCCAAGAAGACTTAGAATTTAACATGACTTCCCCCGCACCTCCCCAGTGGAGAGCCTAAGTTCTGGTACTTGAATCCAAGAGGGAGCTTGTTTTTTCTCCAGGCTCACTGAAGGGGAAAATACTCATCTTGGATTTGAGCAAATATGCTGCCTCTTCAGATGCTCTCAATTCAAATAGTTTGGAGACTGAAGTTACAATCTGAGCTGTGTAAGCATTTCTTAAGGGCTTCTTTGGTAAGCTTATAGAATAGTGTAAACTAAATTAAAATACTAGAGTTTAATTCCATTTTTCTCTTGTAGAGGCAGTGAAAGAAGTAGCATGGGGTTTATAATTTCAGAATGAGAAATGTGACCAGGGTGTACAGCAGTGTAAAGCATTCACACCAATACTTTATTCCAAAACACTTCTGTCATGTTAGGTACAGAGATAAAGTAAATTATTCCAAAAAAGGCAGCCATATTAATCGTAATCTGCCAACTTTGCAAGTACTCAGTCGAGTATTACGTAACAGTTTGTAATCTTCAAGCTGTATGTAGCTGAAATTGTGGATAGAAAATTACTTGCTGAACTGCAGTTGTGCTAGAAAAGGTGGCCAGCTTGTGGCACAAGCAGCCCCTGTGCTTGGCATGCTGCTGATTAGGGGAAGGTACAGGCAGCACAGCAGTAGATAGGATACAGCAGAAAATAGAACAGCAGATCAGGCAGAGAAAGAGGTTGTAGTGGCACTGAGAGAAGATGGGAGTCTTCTTTGTGGCATGCTTGCCAAAAAGGTTGGCCCTTACTAAGATAACATAAAGGACAAAAAGGAATAATGAAGAGTGATGTGTTAAAAAGCTATTTCAATAGTTGATTTTTGCCACTACTTCCTGAATGAGGCATTGGTTCAATAGAAGTTGAAAGAGAACACAATTTCCTATAATAACAATACTGCAGTACTTTGGAGGTTTTCAAAGCAGATTTCCCTTAACTTTCTCCAGCTTTTAATAAATGAAAGGCAAAAGTCTAATGCTACTTAACCAGTACTTCTTCAAAAGCTTGTATGTATACTTCTGTATTAATGTGCATTTGTGCTCAACTGTGGTGCTTTCAAGTGCCTTCCCAGGGCCAATACTGGGATCATTAGTTGTCAGTAAGCTTCCTGAAGCAGTTATTTGCTGCAAGAGAAAGTGAGTCAAAACCTCCCCAAAATTAGATTTGGATAAAAATGAGATAAAATAGCACTACCTATCCACTCCCCAACTGCCATGTGTCACATGTAGAAGGTGCCCATGCTACTTGTAGTACCCATGCTGCAAGTTGGCCACCCCAGCTCTAGATTGTTCATCACTTTTCAGACTTGTTCAAGTTCTGAGAGGCTGCAGGCTATGTGCTGCCATGGTTATATGCTGCAGGGCCCCCCACCCCTCTCCAGGACCCTTGCCATACAGATAGCATGAGTCCTCTCTCCTCTGCCACCACTACTGTGTGGACAGCAGGAGCCCCCTCGTGTAGCAGGCCCACTGTGCTGCCCTGCATGCCCCAGAAGCCCCAGTTACCACAGCAGCAGGAATAGTAGGGGGGAGTGGTCGGTAGGCTGGAGCCTGCAGACCATACGTTAACCTCCATATCGGTTGGATGTGGCCAGTTGGCTACCAGCTGAACAGCCTTTGGTAATACCTTTGGAATACATTTATTCTTATTTTCATACCTTAAGTGTTGAACTGAGGGGCCCATACATCTGAATGTGCTGATTTCCCTGACTCTCCTAGAAGAACAGGCCTGGGACTTGAAACTGAAGCTCCAGTTTTTGTCACAAATTTCTGATGTGACCATAGGCAAGTCGCTTAATCTTCCCTTTGTTAAATGGCAGTGTTGATATATATGCTAAAGACCAAGACACTGGCACCATTCTAAGCATGTTAAATATTTTAAACCATATCAATCTGATCTTATTGAACAGAACCAATTTTTCTATCCTGTTGATGCCATGCAGCTAAATGATCTGTGTGTAAATAGTATGCCGTATGTGGATTCATTTGTTGGGTGCTCAGCAAGTTGAGATTCTAAGACTAGATAAAGATTAGGGCTTAATGTAGATGGTCAAAAACCCCAAGGTTGAATTGATTCGGTCTTTGCAAGTTAGTCTAAGAATGTCTGAACGAACAGACATTCACTTTTGATTCAGGAAATGTAGCCACCTACCTGTAGTGGCTCAAGCCAGAAGCTGGGGTGGGAGGGTGCTAGAGCTTGGTTCTCTGGCATGTAGCCAGCAT